TTGTGTGGAATGAATATCAAAAGATTAAGTTGTCCTAATGAAATCTCAAGAACTGTGTTGTTTCAGCTTATTTTAAATTAGTTTGAACAAGTAAACAAAATATTTTTGGAGTGTAAGGAAGAACTGAAAAAGCTGAAAGATGCTTGATATCAAATATCTGAGAGTCTAACAGTGTTCAGGCACACAGTAATTGAAAAATCAAATGTAAAATAAGACTGCAAAGTCTTCGTTGTATAAATATTTCAATTAAGTTAATCGTCATAAGATTTACAAAGTGTACAATTTATTATACCTGAATGTTTTTAAAATTTTCATACACTGTAAAAAAATGCACAATTCCTTTATGTTGTCCCAACACAGATGGATTAAGTTAACTTAATCGTTTTTACAAATTTAAGTGGATTGAACAGAAAACTATTTAATGTGGCGGCACATCTTTTCAAAGGCAGTCATGTAATGGCCTACACAGAGTCCAGACCTGAATATTATCCTACACAGAGTCCAGACCTAAATATTATATACAGTATGTATACACAATACTATAGGCAGTATGAGATTCACTTGGAGAGAAAAATAAGGATAGAACATGCTAAACATAAGGAAGAACTCTTAGAAATGCTAAAAGATGATTGATATTATTTAGCACATCATTTCAGAAAAGGCTGTTGCTTGGTGCTAAAGAGGTCACGTTAAACACTGACTTTTGATGCTAGACTTTTGATTCAAATAGTCATTTTGTTTTGAATATTGTGCGCATATTTCCCATGTTTTCTGTTTGTAAATTAAAGGTATAGTTCACCTAAAAGTAATGAGCACTTGCTCCATACCTTGATAAGCACTTGCTCCATACCTTTTAGATAGATAGATTTGTGCAAAAGTCTTAGGCTCCCAAAGCTGGTGGTGGCTTACGACTTTTGCACAGTACTGTATATATACTGAAAACTATTAAAGCAGCACTGCACTTTTTTTAGTAGTGGTCCATGGCTCAAAAACGTATATAAAAATATAGAATTTTAATCTGTTTGTCAATCATATGCCGCTGTTCTGTATGTGTGCAGTGTGTTTTTCATGGACGAATTGTTATTGATTTTTTGGTGTTGTGAAACATCCATCAATAATGTCATTAGTGTGCAATTTGTGATACGCTTAACGTGGTGCGTAATATCACACACTGTCCAGTCACTCACCCATAAAGAGAATGCCAGTACTAACATCATTTGTTTTTGGCATGTTTTTATGTAACATTATAGCATTTATTCATTTTAAATTATTAACTTTTATTTTTATATTTTCAGTTTACATTTGATCAAATTTGTCATCTGCTTGCTCCCATTTTTTATAAGTTTATTCATATTTATGTTTAGCTTTTTTATTTTTAACTTCACTGTAAAAAATGCAATACAATTCATTCATTCATGTCTCAACACTCGATTAAGTTAACTTAACAAATCTAAGTGGATTGAATATAAAACAATTAAGTTGTCCTCAAAAAAATTGTGTTGTTTCAGCTCGTTTCAAATTAGTAGTTTGAACGAGGAGAACAAAAAAATGTTTTGGTGTGTTGGAAACTTAGTAGTTCAGTTTTTTATTACAACTTAATAATAACTGTAACTAATATTAATTATAATATTATATTATTTTACTTATAGTACGTTGTAACAACGCTAATATCAAGGCCATCTAATGGTTCATAGGACATGATGTAGTGTGTTGTGATTATTCATAATGAAAATTAGCATAAGAATGCAAAAATCTTCTATTTCATCTAATATATTGTTGTAGTGGGTGAAAACTAAAGCTGTGTTTGTGCACTTCATGACAAACTCCACAATGGGTCAAGTGATGGTAACCAATAAGAGCACAGAAACAGAACTTTTTAACATTTATTCATTCATTTTCTTTCGGATTAGTTCCTTTTTTATCAGAGGTCGCCACAGTGGAATGAACCGCCAACTATTTCAGCATATGTTTTACGCAGCATATGCCCTTCCAGCCGCAACCCAGTACTGAAAAACACCCAAACACCCTCAGATTCACACACACACACACACACACTCAATTTTGTTTATCCAATTCACCTATACTGCATATCTTTGGACAATAGGGAAAACCGGAGCACCCAGAGAGGAAACCCACGTGAATATAGGGAGCACAGCTTTCAAACATGGCGAAATGCTTATCAATTATGCCCCTGGTAGGATTTGCTTTATTTTAATAGGCTTTTCCAATGATAAGACAGCCAGTACAAGACACAAAACTTTGATAGCCATTGTTCGTTAACACACTATTGTTTTTGGAGGTTCGTTACTACTTCTATCTTCTCAATGTCATCATGCTTAGTGTTAAAAATGATTCCCGTGAAGAAAGATATACAGCATGGTTTCACGGACAGGGCTTTAGAGAGTATTTTTAGACATACAGTGCTCAAATCGCACAAATCTCTCATTGAAATCATTATTTTCTATCGGAAGCTTTAAAATAATATATTTGCGTATATATTTTAGATTAGTAAGTATTGAAACCAAATCTGGAGCTAATCTAGCAAAATAACTCATGAAAAACTGTCCATAATGAGCACACCCAAATGTGTTTGTTAGGGGAAAATATTAAATAAAAAAATTAAAAAGAGGAAAATTTAACAGAAACAAAACACTGATTAAATTTTGTTGAAATTTTGTAGCTTGTAATTTTTCCCTCAATATTTTGCATGAATTTATATGTATATTTTTTTATATTATATGTATATATGTTTGGTGAGATGTTGGTATTAATAAATATATCCATTTAATAAATCTGTTTTGTTCAAATGCACCATAATATGACCTGTATTCAGTGAGAAATGGTTAAAAACCTTCATTTTCAAAATGTGGTGTACTCAATTATGCTGAGCACTGTAGCTTAGTTAGGACATTAAAGTCATTTATTTTATAGATGTGCTTTAATACAAAAAATCTGTGCCCATTTGAGTCAAGAAACAACACTGATTTATTATTTTACAATCAGTCACTGCAAGTTTCCTTCAGTTGAAACAGCTCAGACTTACATTTTATTCTGGATTTAGGCTCAAGCCTTGTCTGTCTAAGATTTCTTCAAGAATTTAGGGGTCAAATTCACCTGTCTGAGTGGATGCTTGCATTGCAACTTTTTTAAGTTCTTCCCAGCATCACCGACACCATTATAACATCACATGGTCAGCACTGCAATCAGCCAATGACGCAAATGAAAACGAGCGCTGCTATTCCAAGCCTCCATATCTCTGATTCTGAGTGTGTCTGCTTGAGAATGCGTGAGATTCATACCGAGAAACCTCTTGACACATTGTTCATGTGCTGGAGCGCTCTGTGTTATGTCATGGTCAACAAGCTGAGCACTTATGGCCAGATTATCAAGCATGTGAAATCATCAGCGTTCCCAGCTGTCTTGCATTGCTCAAATGTTTCTGTGCTACATCATCACACAGTTGAAGTCACAGTTATTCTTTTTTAAATATATCTCAAATGATCTTTAACAGAGCAAGGAATTTTTCACAGTATTTCCGATAATATTTTTTCTTTTGGCGAAAATCTTAAATGTTTTATTTCGGCTAGAATAAAAGCAGTTTTTAATATTTTTTTAAAACATTTTAAGGTCAATATTTTTAGCCCCTTTAAGCAATATTTTCTTCACAAACCACTGTCATACAACAAGGTGATTGACAAAATGATATTCTGAAAATGCCAGCAGGTGGCAGCAAGTGATTATATAACTAAACGAGTCATTTATTTAACCGATTCATTTAAATCAATGATTCATTCAGTAAGATTTGCTAATTCCAGTCGTTCACGAATGACATAAGATCATTGTACTCAATATTACTGATATATAATGTTACTCAACTCATTTAAAATTATGGCTGTTGCGTATATATATATATATATATATATATATATATATATATATATATATATATATATATATATATATAGGCCTACACTGGAGTTGAGTCTGCCGGTCACTACAAATTCATTTGCTCCATGCTGTGCAATGTGACAGTTTTACCACAGATTATGAGAGCTGGTCAGCAAAATCAAACAGATGACATGCTAAGATGCCTAAGTATGATGAGAGTCTAAATATTTGTGCCAGTCTGTCAAGATAAAATGGCTTAAAACACTTTTCTAGGGCATTATTTTAACTAATATGTCTAATAATACTGCTAAAACAATTTATATTATTTTATTTTGAATAATAATAATTCAATGGTGGAGCTTCTTGAGTTTGTTCAGTAAAGGCCGGCTCACACTGTGCGATTATTTATTTATTTATTTTTTAAATTTTTTATAATCATTTGTAGCATGTCAGACTGCACGAACATGGCTCCCATGTCACACTGTAAGATCTCAGCCGTCATAATGTCAGACTGAACGACCACCAAACACGGAAGAAAACTCTTTCAGCTTTTTCAGAACGTCATCAGAGAGAAAATCTGATCGCAACGGACAATAAGCAGCTGTCTGTGAGCTTGTCAAACCAAAAATACCGCAGATTTTAGCCTAGAATTTCATCTTTTAGGATTTCAAAAAATATACCTCCAGGGACATATTTCATGCTGTCCAGAAATGTACACAGGGGTACGTATCAATAATGAGCCTGGGTTATGGTTGTGATGTGAAAAATGGGCATTGTTTGTTTATGTCAAACCTTCACCAGAGAGAACACTTGGGTCAGATAACAAAAATTGTCCCAAAAAAACAGACTATAGAGCAGAGAAATGTGCAATAGCTTTTGTCATTTTAATTAGAGACACCTTTACTCTTGTCTGGTTCTCCCTTCTTAAAAATGCTTTTTCACTTCGCTGTCATTTATTATCTGTGGCAAACAAATGATGTGGCTCGAATGAGTCACGCGCTTTAGTCATATTTGAATTTATTAAAACATGTTGGGTATAACTAGCTCCGGTGTTCATCTTAGAAAGTCCTCTAATCTTTTCTCTCTTTTTCTTCCACCTTTGTTGTCTGCAGAACTCAAAGAATGCTCAGGGTCTGGTGGGTCTCAGGAATCTCGGAAATACTGTAAGTATTTTTAGCAAGTAGCAACGCATCTATAGTTCCATATAAAGTTCATACAAAAATGCTTTATTTTTATGCCTGTGTCTTTTGTGAGTTGTCATTTTTATGTCCATAGTGTAACACTTTAAAATAATGGTGAGTTAGTTAATGTTAGTTAATGTATTTAGTAACATGAACAAACTATTAGTGATATGTTTATTTCATGTTCATGTTAGTTAATGTCATTTAAGGCAGCGGTTCTCAAGCGAGATCAGTGTGGGATCGCGTGATATTGTTAACATTTTTTAGCAGTGAACAATTAGGAGAACGATCATGTTGCCTTAGTTCATTTTATCCCCTGGCTGACCAATAAAAAGGGACAAATTTGTAATTCGTCCTCCACAAAGTCCCACTGATTCGCCTTCAGTAGCTAATACTAATGACCCAAGCATGCTGGTCCCAGATGAGGAAGCTCCAAACATTTCAAGTCACAGCGCTAGCAATACTGAAAACACGAAATGCAGGAAATACCAAGATTACCTCGACTATGGTTTTATTCCATTTTCTCGAAGCAAAGAGTTCATAATCCAGCCACAGTCTATTATCTGCATCAAAGTTCTTGCTAACAAACACATGAGGTCGTCCAAATTAATAAGACATTTGCAGACGACTCATCCCAAATACGGCGACAAGCCCAGAGCGTTTTCTTCAGCGCAAGGCAAAAGAATTGACACATGGACGTCACAGCTACTGACAAGAAACTTAAAAAATTGGCAACTAATACTCACCTTATTCTCCGCCGACGAGCGGGCGCTGCCATTTGAATCTTTTTGGCTTGAGACTTCCGGTCTCATTCACTTCCATTCATTTTTTGACGTTAAAAACTGCTCATTACGCTGCTTGATGTTGCAATTTGATATTTTCTTATTATATTATTCTACTTGGTCTGTATAGTCATGCAAACATTTGTTTGTAGAGCAAGTAGTTTGACCATTTTCTGCCGTTTATTATTCCTAGTCATTTCTCCCATAAGCGACTGAATCCGAAGTTCTAAGACAATCGCGAAAACAGGCGCACTTCCGCATTTTAGGTCGATAGCGCCAATTTAAAGGCCAAAGGCTTACGTTTTTCAGTTACAAATGGCCCACTAATGTTTTGCTTTTATTTTGCATTAGGCCATTATTTGCGCATAAACATATCTAGTTATAAAAATAAAAATACCGTATGTTTGAAAACAACATTTTTTTGTCATCCTTACGGCAAAATTATGAGCTATAATAAATTAAATGTAGGGGCCTTATTATAATTTCCAGGGGAAAAGCAGGTCTCAAGCAAAAAAAGGTTGGGAACCACTGATTTAAGGGAAATAGAGTTGGTTCGTTAACTCACAGTGCATTAGCTAATGTTACCAAAAGCACACATTTGGATTTCATTAATGCATTAGTAAATGTTAAACTATGATTAATAAATGTTTTACAAGATTATTCATACTTGGTTAATGTTAGTAAATATTGGACCCGTAGTCTAAAGTATTACCATATATGGTTCAATTAAAATGTCTAAATTCTTATAGATCAACCATGCATTTGCACTCACAGAACTGCCACTCACTGGATTTAGTTTTCTTCTTTTTTTGCATAATAATCTCTAAACCCTAGAGTTGGTTGTGTGAAAATCCCAGTAGATCAGCCATTTAGGAAATGCTCAGACCAGCCTATTTGGCACCACCAACCACGAAAGCGATAGTTCACCCCAAACAAAATGAAAAATCAGTCGTCATTTGCTCACCATTGACTTATCACAGACCTAAATTTCTTTCATCTGTTGAACACAAATGAAGATATTCTGAATAAAGCTGATAACCATTGCCATGGCTTTCTTCAAAAAAACATTATAGCTAGATTATTAAAGTGGGCGTCACGCTGGCGCAGTGGGTAGCAAAATCGCCTCACAGCAAGAAGGTCGCAGGTTTGAGCCTCGGCTGGGTCATTTGGCATTTCTGTGTGGAGCATATTCTCCCCATGTTTGCGTGGGTTTCCCCCACAAGTCCAAAGACATACACTATTAGTGAATTAGGTAGGCTAAATTGACTGTAGTGTATGCGTGTGAATGAGTGTGTATGGATGTTTCCCCAGTGATAGGTTGCAGCTGGAAGGGCATTTGCAGCGTAAAACATACTGGATGAGCTGGCGGTTCATGCTGCTGTGGCGACCCCAAATTAATAAAGGGACTAAGCTTAAAAGAAAAAGAATGAATGAATATCATTTAAGTAGTAATCAGTATAAAATAGAAATATTGGTAAAAAGAAACTCATAAAGGTTTGGAACCACTTGAAAGTGAGTTGTTATTTTTGGGTGAACCATCATTTTTCTTACATTCTGATGCTCAGTTTGTCTCAGATCATCTTGACCTACATGCCTAAATGCATTGATTTGCTGCCATGTGATCAGCTAATTGGATATCTGTGCAAACAAGCAGTTGTACCTAATAAAGTGGCCAGAAAGAGTTGTATTCTCAATTCATTCATTTTAGTGCCTTCTCCATTCTTGTGCCTCTGCAGTGTTTCATGAACTCCATCCTGCAGTGTCTGAGCAACACTCATGACCTGAGGGACTACTGTCTGCGTAACACACACCGCACCGACCTCAACAACAACTGCAGGGCCAAAGCTGCGCTGATGGACGGTAAGAGACACATTTACACACCGGTCTATACAGTAGAGCATTCATTTCCAGCACGCACATCAGACTCCCTAAGGGTATTGTATAGGTATTGGTTAGTCACATGCCTGCATCTACCATTTTGAAACTAGACATGATCAGGTTGAACATACGGTCACTCACGACTTTTATTGACTTGTGTAAGAATATTTTGACTTGATTTCAATGTGTATTTTTAAATGATATTAGAGATCGATGTTATTCAGGAAATATTTAAATGGAAATGTTTAAAAATGTGTCTTCTGGAGGAATTGTGATATTTGTCAAACCAATAGACTCTATTGGGCTCTATTTTGACGGTACATGCGCAAAGTGCAGGACGCAAACGCTTTCAGGGCGTGTCAGAATCCACTTTTGCTAATTTAAGGACGGAAAAAATCAGCTTTGCGTCGTGGCGCATGGTCTAAAAGGGTTGAGCTTATTCTCTTAATGAGTTATAGGTGTGTTTTAAGAATAAACCAATCAGAGTTTCATCTCCCATTCCCTTTAAGAACCAGTTGCGTCGCGCCATAAGCGCATTTGCTATTTACATGACGTAAAGTAAGTGGAAGTGGAAAAACCGAGCGCTTCACTAGCAAGGAAACAGTTAAACAGAGCATCTGCAGCACGAGAATGAGAGATAAGTCATCTCATAATCTACTTTCACTTTCGCTCTCGTGGATAGCACAGACATCAATTAGCCTATAAATAATTAACTTTGTTCAGCGCAAAGATTTGTTTTTGAAACTATTTCTAAATTCAGTTTTAATTTCCAATAAATGAACAATAATAACTAAGTGTGTTCAAAAACCTGAGTTATATCCTAAAACACATGCTGTGCCCCATATGGTCTGAAACCTGACATTTGGACAAATCTAAGCTTGTTTTTGATAAAACAAATATAAATATGGAGGTGAGGCAGTGGTGCAGTAGGTAGTGCTGTCGCCTCACAGCAAGAAGGTCGCTGGGTCGCTGGTTCGAAGTTTGGCTCAGTTGGCGTTTCTGTGTGGAGTTTGCATGTTCTCCCTGCCTTCGCGTGGGTTTCCTCCGGGTGCTCCGGTTTCCCCCACAGTCCAAAGACATGCGGTACAGGTGAATTGGGTAGGCTAAATTGCCCGTAGTGTATGTGTGTGGATGTTTCCCAGAGATGGGATGCGGCTGGAAGGGCATCTGCTGTGTAAAAACTTGCTGGATAAGTTGGCAATTCATTCTACTGTGGCGACCCCAGATTAATAAAGGGACTAAGCCGACAAGAAAATGAATGAATGAATAAATATGGATATAATAAATAATACTTCTAATAATAATAACATTATACAAAAGCAAATTGTTATGAATGAACTGAAAAAGCCTCCCGAGATGGAGGCATGAAGGCAGTGTTTTTTAAATTTATGTAGGCTAGAAAATAATATGTTTTGTAATATTTTAATCCTTTATATTTAAATTCTATATATCCTTATCATATTCAATATATATCCTTAAGTTTTTAATTATTTTTCATATGTAAAGATATTTGCGTATTGCTGTACATTTTGTGTATTAAGCAGTGTGTAAGCGAGGCGCACAACTAACGCGCTTTGCGCTGGACTTTAGACCGGCTTTGTTATGGTCAATTGAAAAATCTATTATAGTTTCTCAAAATAACAACGCGCCATATCACTCCTGCTTTTTTTTCCAGAACGCCTATGGGCGCACATATGAGCGCAAATGCATTTGCTATTTAAACAGCGTGGCGGAAAACATCAAAACGACTCTTGCGCCAAGCTGAAACCAGCAAACAACTATTGTGTCGCGCCTCGCGCCACATTGTGCCGGGTGTATGATAGGGCCCTATTTGACTCTACAGTGTTGTTGTTATTTGTTTGTTTTTTGTACAGTGGATGTTTATTAAGAAATCAATATGATTGCATATTATATATTGTGTATGTAGAATAGGTTTTGCCATGAATATAACCAATGCTGCATAAATCAATCAATCAGTCAATAAATCCCTGCGTCTTTCTGTGTTCAGAGTTTGCCAAGCTCACTCAGACCATTTGGACGTCAGCTAGCAATGAGGCCATCAGCCCTTCTGACTTTAAAATGCAGATTCAGAAATACGCCCCTCGATTTGTTGGTTACAAGTAAGTCACATCGGCGGTATGAAACATTGCATCATATTTGGCTGATGTTCAATTCTTTAAAATCTATGTCCTTGCCATTCTCTTCTGTCCTGTAGTCAGCAGGACGCTCAGGAGTTCTTGCGCTTTCTACTGGATGGGCTCCATAATGAAGTAAACCGAGTGACGGTGAAATCCAGAGCACCCGTGGAGGATCTTGATCACCTCTCGTGAGTACACTAGATGCTTTCTTATTCTGAAAAAACACTTGGTTGTCGATGTATATAACATGTTGTGGCCTCATGAGCCAACAGGGAAAGACTGCAAGCCTACTTTTAGTTCGGTTTTATGACAGGATTGAAAAGGCAAAACTCATTGCATATTGTAAGCTGCAAATATGTGAGCAAGAGCTGTTATAAAGATGAATGAAAATGTCAAATTGCTGGTTCACTTCAAGCATTTTCCATTCGTTTCAACTGGAATAATGTACAAAAAATGTACAGTTTAACCATTATGAATCCATTATTAATGTAAAATAAGGCAAAAGCGGGATACTGTTGAATTGATTGTTTAACTTATCTTCAAACCACTAACAGAGTTAATGTTTTCTACCATTTTGAATTTGAGATATCGCTAACAAGATGCTAAACTTAAAGCAGATTGAATGGTACATTTTTGTACCATAATATTGGGAAGTATCACAGTAACAGGATTGATAAATAATTGATTTACTATTGTTGTATTATGTAGGGATGCAACTACACATTTACTTAGGGGTGTCCGGGTTCAAGGTCTTGCAAAAGATGCAAAATTGAGTTCATTTTGTTCAAATAAATCTATATGTTAAATGTTATTTGTTTTGAGCATTAAGTTTATGTAATTATAGTGTTCCAGATGGCAATGTCGTTGACTAAATAATTGGGAATTTAGCTTACTATATTTACAGTGCCTGGCACAGAATAATCAGTTTTAGCCATGGCCTCAGAAAATATTCGAAGCTAATCATGTATTCCTAAGCAGATTCAGGCCTCTGGGAATATATTAATACTGCTTCGCATCAGTGTTGTGCTTGAATATGATGCAGTGTGATGTGCTGATTGATCCAACAGATGAATCACCTGTGGTTAAACTGTTGCAATCCGACAGTAATAGCGAGCAGTCTGTCTGTGCTCTTAAATTAAATGCGCTTTTTCTACAGGGAGGACGAGAAAGGCAAGCGAATGTGGAACAAGTACCTGGAGAGCGAGGACAGCAAAGTAGTCGGTGAGTTGACCTGCTAGATTAACAGTCTCTCTTTCCTTGATTGTGTATGTGTGCTTGTGTTTATCCTGCTCTGATTCAAATGTTCTAATATTTGTTTTTGTCCCTGCACAGATCTGTTCGTCGGTCAACTCAAAAGCTCATTGACGTGCAGCGAGTGTGGGTTCTGCTCAACTGTATTCGATCCGTTCTGGGATCTGTCTCTGCCTATAGCTAAGGTTAATATACATTTAATTATCCATCATATTCCTTACGCCTTAACACAATATAAGTAATTATTATTACACAATACAATAATTGGGGCGGCACGGTGGCTCAGTGGTAAGCACTGTCGCCTTATAGCAAGAAGCTCGCTGGTTCGAGTCTCAGCTGGGCCAGTTGGCATTTCTGTGTGGAGTTTGCATGTTCTCTTCGTGTTCGTGTGGGTTTGCTCTATAGTTTAAAACCCAAACCATCATTTAGAACAGTAGCATTGTATAAACATAAGTGGTGCCTATGTTTAGTCACATGACAGCATATAGTGTTTCATCTGTTGTTTATTTGTCTTCCTCAGACTTCAGGAGAAGTAAGTTTGAATGATTGTCTTCGGCTTTTCACCAAGGAGGATGTACTTGATGGGAATGAGAGACCAGTAAGTCTAGATTTTGATCATTTAAAAGCACAGTTTGTAACATTTTGCCATTGAAATATTCAAAAACCACTTGAACAATGTTAAATATTTGACTGATTTGTGTACTTAAATTATTCCAAATAATGTTTCAGACAAATAAGAACATTTCTGAGAAATAAGATATTTTACTTAGAGAGATGACTGTTGAAGTCACACACCCTCGATTTTTCAGTTTTAAATGTTTATAAAATATTGAAATGGAAAAGATGCTTCAATAAAATATTTAAAATCACAATTAGTATTTTAACTTGTCATTTAATGATATTTTGTACTATATATATATATATATATATATATATATATATATATATATATATATATTTTTTTTTTTTTTTTTTTTTTTAAGCTATTGGTTGTGGTCATTTTCAGCAGTGTCTTCTGTAAATCATGGTAAAAACGTATGATATGATATATCCTAAACATCTCTTTGTTTTCATGCAGACATGCCACAGATGTAAAACCAGACGGAAATGCACGAAAAAGTTCACCATTCAGAAATTTCCCAAAATCCTGGTGCTTCGTATCCTTTTAAAACAAACCAGTAATCCAAAGAGTTGCCTTTTCAATTTTCAATAAATCTAACTAACCTCTATGTGCTGATGAATTAAATGTCACATAATTACATAGCCTAGCTCATTATTTTCTATTACTAAGCTTAAGTGTTTTTATAAATATCTGCTAGACTTGACATTTTATTTGATTAAATATTTATTTATTTATTTATTTATTTACTAAAACTGTATCTTTTTATTTTTTCATATCCTTTATTGAAACTTTTTCAAATGTACACCATTTAAGGCAGTCTTTTCTTTGTTTAGCAAGGGATTGAAAGAGTAATGAGCACAGTATCTGTACAAATGCACAGTAAAAATGATGTTTCTCAAGTACATCATTAAGTTGAATCAGTTTACAAGTCATTTTAACTTACATCAATTCAGCTGACTTAAAAGGTCAAGTTAAAAATTTAGTTGAAACCTGAATAACTTTCTAAATTAAGTAAAAGTAATGTAAAAACATAAGGTTGTCATGACTTTTCTATAAATTAATTTTACAGTTTTTTTTACAGTTTTTTTGCCCAGAATTGTATGATGTAAACATGAAATTGTCCGTTATAAAGTCAGAATTCTGAGATGTTAGCACAATTCTGAGATTAAAAAAGTCACAATTCTGAGTTAGGTCCGAATTCTGCCTTCATATCTCGCAATTTTGAGAAAATATAGTCACAATTGCAAGTTATAGTCGAAATTCTGACTTCATATCTCGGCATTTTAAGAGAAAAAGTCACAATAGCGAGTTGTAGTCGGAGTTCTGCCTTCCTATCTTGCAATTTTGAGAAAATAAATTCGCATTTTCAAGTTATAGTCGGAATTCTGACTTCATACTCGCCATTTTAAGAGAAAAAGTCATAATAGCGAGTTGTGGTCGGAGTTCTGCCTTCCTATCTCGCAATTTTGAGAAAATAAAGTCACAATTGCAAGTTATAGTCGGAATTCTGACTTTAAGATACTTTTGAGAAAAAACGTCACAATAGCGAGTTATAGCCAGAATTCTGCTTTCATATCTTGTCATTTTAAGAGAAAAAGTCACAATAGCGAGTTATAGTCGGAATGCTGAGATAAAAAGTCTAAGCGTGTGTTTCTTCAATTCTGAACACGTCTGTGCTTTTTTTTAAAAATACTGACGCTATACTGAAGATTTAATCTAAAAATGCACATTTTAGAGACAAGTTAGAGTCCATATTGTGAGATAAAAAGTTGCAATTGCAAGTTGTGACATTTAAAAATGCCAGTTGCAAGCTATACCAGCCTGATCTCATGAGGAAACATAAGTATTTTACGCTTTATCAGTTTAGTGGCTAATTTGTTCGAGTTCAGTCGTACGAAAATGTACGATTTTAACAAGAAGGAATGTTTTTAACCTAAAATGATTTATCAAAAGTTATGGATTGCGTAAAATACTGTATATTTCAGTTTGCCCTTGATTCTGTATCTCTCTCAGATCTAAAGCGTTTCTCGGAGTGTCGGGTCAGAACCAGCAAACTCTCCACATTTGTAAACTTCCCTCTCAAAGAGCTGGACCTCAGGGAATTCGCCTCTGATAACAGCGGTAAGATCATTTACTACATCTGTATTCTGTGCTGTTATTTGCGCATTGCGTTTTTTGGTGTCTTTGTTTTTTACCGCAGCTAATTGACTTTAACTGTTGTCTGTTCTCTCCGTACAGTAAATGCAGTGTATAATCTGTATGCCGTGTCCAATCACACTGGTACATCATTGGGTGGTCATTATACAGCGTACTGCCGCAGTCCCTGTACAGGAGAATGGTACACATACAATGACTCCAGGTAAACATTCAGTCATTTCTCTTTGGCTTAGTCCTTTTATTAATCTTGGGTCACCACAGTGGAATGAACCGCCAACTTATCTAGCACATGTTTTACACAGCAGATACCCTTCCAGCTGCAACTCAGTACTGGAAAACATCCATACACTTATTCACACACATACACATCGGACAATTTAGTTCATTAAATTCTGTGGGTGAAACCAAAGCACCCGGAGGAAACCCATGCGAACACAAGGAGAACATGCAAACTCCACACAGAAATGCCAACTTACAAAGCCGGGACTCCAAACAGCAACCTTCTTGCTATGAGGCGACTGTGCTAATCACTGAGCCACTATGTCACCCTATTTTAACTAATCATATTGAAAGCCAGTAACCATTCACTTCCATAGTTGGAAATACTACTTCTGAAGTCAATGATTACAGGTTTTCAGCTGTTCTAATTCTAAAATGATGGAATATAAATACTTTAAGTATGGATTATAACATCTTTGCTAAATAAAATGTATTATATCACCTCATAATTTTAACAGTACTGAATATTTACAGTATTGTGGCATATTATTTTGCTCACAGTTCGTGTTCAAAGATGCTGACGCAGTGTGAGTTTTTGCAGACGTCTCATTGTTGTGTGTATTTCAGGGTGAGCCCCATGTCGTCCAGCCAGGTGTGCAGCAGCGACGCTTACGTGCTCTTCTACGAGTGTGCGACCTCCTCGCGCATGTGATTCAACCCGAAACGGAAACAAACTCTTCTGCTGCTGTCGAACTCAATCTCAGTCAGGGTCTAAATGCTTGAAGGACCATGGGAATTTACAAACCAAGGCCAGACATGCATACTGGAACTGAACGACAGTCACGGCCTACGAAGCCTGGGACTAGAGTTTTAAGTCTAACCCAAATCGAGCTTCAGCGTAAGGGCTCCTCCATCAATCACTCCCCCTGAAAGAGGCTGCTGCTCTGGGGATGGATTTAACAAACGGAAGTGGACAAAGACGGACAGAGGAACATGAACTACTACCTCTCTGGAACGAGCAAGACATTGTGTGTGTATGTATGTGTGTGTGTACAGGTTTATGTGGTTTATGAGGACACAACATTGTTTAATGACAAGAGTATGACCTAGAACACTGTAAAAAGCAATTAGCTGACTTGACTTGAATAAAGTGAGTAAACTAGTTGCCTTGTAATTATTAAGTAAACAAAAAATGCATAATTATAAAAGCTAGGCTAAGTCATTGGGCTGGTAACCAATAAAGTTGGTTTACGGGGACATGACTTGTGTCCTTGTAATTCAGAACACTTAAAAAACATACTTAACAGTGTCTATTGACATTTAAGTTTGGGCTAGGGGTAGGATAAGGCGATATAATAAGCCACTTTTACAGTATAAATTACATTATACCTATGGAAAGTCCTCATAAACCATATTTACAAGTGTGCGTGTGTGTGTCTGTCAGTCTTCAGGCTGATACTGGACGACTCTATGCACTGTGTTACCGACTCAAAACCATCCCTATCCCTTATTTAATTTATTAACATGATGAGTTCAACGTTTTACTTCATTTCAAGCTAATTACGACTAATTTAAACGAGAGGTCATCTTGCTGAAGGACCATATAGGTCAACGGTGTGAATGACGCAAGGATTGTTTACTGTTTCGAACAGATGCGTGTGTCCGCTTTGCTCGATTTGCTGATTTTCAATGGAATATGCACATCGGAAGGGCTTGGTTTTACACTAATGCATGACTGTGCTCCTTCCTGAAACCCTCACCATTACAGAAAAGATTGTATGACTGCCCCCTGGTGGCCAGGAGAGGTAAAACCAGAAAAAAAAGATGAGCCCTTTTCATAGACTTTCAATTATAGAAAATAATTGAATAATCTGCAAATCAATAATCGTAATCAATCTTAAAATGTTTTCTTGTTTTGGAAAGTCACAAAGTTTTTTTATAGGGGTGACCACACATCACATTTTTCCTGGGACAGTCCTGTATTTCAGCTTTGATTTTTAGAGTCCTGACTTATTAATAAAAAATAATACATGTTATGTCCTTAAATTTGATCGTAGTGTAGGAGTGTGTGTGTGAATATGTGAGTGTATGGGTGTTTCCCAATACTGGGTTGCAGCTGGAAGGGCTGTGTAAAACATATCCTGGAATAGTTGGCGGCTCGTTCCGCTGTGGTGACCCCTGATAAATCAGGGGCTAAGCCGAAGGAAAATGAATGAATGTTCTGTCCTGTAACTACCTGTAATTAATCAATGGTAGCCAGTCATGTCATATACTTGCACAAAAGTGATTTACTATAGTTATTGCAAGGTAAAAACATGAACGAACATTAAAGGTATGCTGAAGGAAACGGTGTACATTGTAAAAAGCAAACTTAAAAATTATTTCACCCGTTGCCTTAAAAGTAATTACAAATTAAATAATGCCTAATTAAATGTGCATTATTATAAAAATTTAGTTGATTTTTACTTAACAATTACAATGTTTACTCTTTGCAAAGTAAAATAACTTCCTGAAATGAATCATAGCCAAAAAAAAAAAAATCAGAGTCAGAAAGCTGTCATTGAAAGATATTGTAAACTATATAAGTAAACTATATAAGTTCTTACTTAAGTTACATTTACTTCAGAAATTAAATTTGGTATCCAAAACTCGTGAAAATAATATAGAAAGGAGCCGAGTATTAGCTCAATATTTCAAATTACATATATTGTTTAATAATGTCTATTCCAGATTTAAAAAAAAAGACAATGGATTCAGTGTTTCCAACTTAGCGACTTCGTCTCTTTATTTAGGGACTTTTCAGTCCCCCTAGCTAATTTTTTTTTTAAAAAGCGACTAGCGACAATCTTGCTACTTTTTTCCAACCCAGGCTCATTCTGAAAATGTATTTCCGTGTACGTTTCTGGAGACTGCGAAATACGTCCCGGGAGGTACGTATTCTTGCAGTTTTTGTTTTCGCGAATACACAAGAGGCTGCTGTGTGCGCTCTTTCGTATCTTAAATGTCTCTCGTGAGTGCCATTCGCACTCGCGCTGTTCTCGTGTAAACCCACCAGAGGCCGCTGTCGAGTGACCGTCTGTCTGACTGACCGAGTGATTGACTGGGCGACCGGCCAATCCACTGACCCACCCTCCTCCTTCCCTAAACCCAACCAATTTTACTGATTGACTCGTGCACCCGCTTCCCTTAACCCAACCAACAATTTACAAAAGCCGTCCAGAAAAAGAAAAGCCCTTGTCTGATTTTTACCATGTTTTCGAATTTTACCACATTCCCACCCTCTTATGATCTTGTTCACTTTATTTTTTGGATTTTGTTTTTGTCTTACCTGACTTCTGGAACCGCTCTTCCCCTAAGACTCGAACCCGGTCATCGTCGTCAACTCCTCTCTGCATCTCAAGTACGCCTACATACACGACAAGCTAACTGGACAAACTGGTTGCAGCGGTAGAGCCCTCCACATGGAAGTAAGCGGTCAGCTGCTAAGCGTGAAAAGGAACGCCGACATACCGCCCTGTAGCTTTCACTTACAAAATGAAATGCAGCCATATGTACCTCCGGCTACATAACTCGCGCTCTCCAGAAACGTCCACAGGATTACGTTTTCAGAATAAGCCTGGTTTGCTTTTTTTTGGTGTTCCTGCTGATTTTTATAGAATCTCATGTGTCTGTACCGTAATCTTCCTACTCTTCTCAACAAGCCACCCATGATCCCGTTATCCCCCCCCCCACTTCAGCTCAGAGCACTCACCGCGGCCCAGTCCTCACACAGCAGTCTCACACCTGCAGCCTGAGAGCAGATCATTCCTCTGCGTACCGATGGCAAATGTTTTAGCACCGTGAGTGTGAGGTATTTCCCTGGTACAATCACACAGATTTTAGTGACACCAGTTACTGAACTGAGAAAACTGATCTACTATACACATCTACTGTATTCAAGCAATGCATTTAATTGGATTGACATGCATATATAAAGCGTAGTGCAAATAAAAATACCCCTTCATTAACCATAGGCAGTTTAACAAACAGAAAGTGTTGGACGTTGTGATGTCAATAATATGCAATTTGACATATGACATAATCTATTGACATTTAGCAACTTTTTTAGCAGAGCTTATCGCCTTTTCATTGAAAATAGTTGGCAACCCTGTTTGGATTTTGGCTAATTGGCTATTTCTTGGGATTTTTTTCTGTTCACCAGTATAGAACTTTACCCAACCATGACAACATTTAATAGTAGATGTGAAAACGGTCTATTAAAATCCATCTCCAATTATTTTTAGGCATTTCCGGTTTCCTCAAGGGATAATACAAGATATAAAAGAGGCCTTAATATGTTTTTCCACAGTCTGCCAGAGACTATAACACTCTTGTTTAATTTGAAGATGAGTCAAACAAGAGGCCACCAGGAGGGTGTGTGTGTGTGTGTGTGTGTTTGTGTGTGTGTGTGTGTGTGTGTGTGTGTTTGTGTGTTTGTGTGTGTGTGTGTGTGTGTGTGTGTGTGTGTGTGTGTGTGTGTGTGTGTGTGTGTGTGTGTGTGTGTGTGTGTGTGTGCCTTTATGTATTATTTCTCTATTTATGAAGTGAATGTTGTGAACGTTGCTTATTGTCGCGCTTGAACTGGACGATGTTGTTTTTTTTTCTACAGAGAGATTTTAAACGAGTGGTGATTTTTTCTGTGTCTCAAATGTGACTGTAGTGTACTGCATATCAAGAGCTACTGGCTTTTCAAAAGAAGTAAATATGAATAAAAGCAAATGTCTACATAAGCACTTGTGAATTGTCTGCAGTGCTACATTGTGTGGAGTGATTGTGAAGTGTGGTGCTCCAGAAATGCCCTTTAAAAACATAATAGAGAATCTGACAGGCAGTAGTTCAATTGTGCTATAACTAGTGTGTACACAGTTAGACTTTGCCTATCATTGTTCATAAATATAGATAAATAAATAGACAGATAGACAGACAGACTGATAGACAGACTGATAGATAGATAGATAGATAGATAGATAGATAGATAGATAGATAGATAGATAGATAGATAGATAGATAGATAGATAGATAGATAGATAGATAGATAGATAGATAGATAGATAGATAGATAGAGACGAGATATGAATGTTTCATTCATTTTACTTTATTATATAAAAATAATTTATTATATTTATTTATAATATTAACAATATAATCATAGTAATAACCATGACATCAATACTAGCCTAAAACAGGGAAACAATAAATAAATAATGAAATAAAAGGGTGGTGCAGTGGGTAGCACGTTCACCTCACAGCAAGAAGGTCGCTGGTTTGAGCCTTGGCTGAGTCAGTTGGCATATCTGTGTGGAGTTTGCATGTTCTCCCTCTGTTTGCGTGGGTTTCCTCCAACTGCTCCTCTTTCCCCACTAGTCCAAAGACTGGTGTTATAGATGAATTGAGTAAACTAAATTGTCAGTAGTGTATGTGTGTGAATGGAAGGGTATGGGTGTTTCCCAGTGATGGGTTTTAGCTGAAAAGACATTCGCTGCGTTCGCTGGATAAGTTGGCGGTTCATTTCGCTGTGGCGACCCCTGATTAATAAAATGACTAAGCCGAAAACAAACTGAATAAAATAATAATAACAATAGTAATATAAAAAATGTTTTGTAATGTAGTAATTAAATAAATGAAGTCACGAAGAAAATTCTGCAAATGAGGTAATGATAACGAATACGTACATTTGTGAATATAATATTTAATCATTAAAATAAATAAATTGCCTATATAGTCTCTGTTATGTTTGATTTGAGAAAAAAAAGTAGCAAAATATATCACACATAGAAAAGTCAATGTTAAACTTACACTTTGATGTAAAAAAACAAACAAACAAAACAGATCAATCAGACCAAAACACTTTATTATGGGCATTTAATTAAAAAAAATACATATACATTACATAAATAAATATATATATTACATATATATTATTCAGAGAAGTGTAAATGGTAAATGCAGAGATGACATAGGCCAACTTGTCAGTGAAGCCCCTCCCACATCCGTTTACAAGAGTTTAAATGCTGAAGAATATTCTCATGTTTCTCAAAGAACACAGTCAGTGTGGGTTCTCTGTCCTCCCACTGCTGAACAAGAACCAAACAGGAGGAACTACTGCAGGAAAAACAACTGACACCAAAGATGGAGATTAAGAAAGAACCTTACAGAATTAAAGTTGAGGCTACAAAGAAACAAACAGGTTTGTAATTTTTTTTCTTATTGTGGTTAACACTGATTAAAAATTACGATCAAAACTGACATGAAAAACTAGATAATTGTTATTTGCAACCACTATCGTAGCTAAACTGTAAATAAATATCTGTAATTTTTGGTTTATTTCTGGCAGCTGGGGTGCTGGAAAAAAAAAACATAAAATAACGGCCGCTAATTTGCAAAAATGTACTGTAAGATAACAGAGGTTGAATGACACAGATTTACAAGAAATTTAAACTTAAGGAAATTTCTGTAATTTAATGTCCACTATTTTAGATTAAACTTCTGTAATTTAACGGCCGTTATTTTACTTTTTTTTTCCTGGCACCCCAGCTGCCAGAAATAAACCATAAAATTATAGATTTATTTTTACAGAAACTTATACACAAAAAAAAAAAAAACTTTTACACTGTATCATAGGCTACTCTATATGCGGTTAAAAAATCAGGCAGGCAATGGTCAAACAGGTTCAAACTGGAGAATGAGGGTAATCCAAAGAACGTGGTCAAAATAACAGGGAAATGGTCAGGACGGGCAGTATAACAGCATAAACAATTAAACAAACAAAGGTCCTAAAACACAAGAAGGCAACACAAGGAAACCACTTTGTAATGCTAACACTGAACAAGATTCAGCAAAGTTTGTGTGAAAGTGTGGTGTATATATAATATAATCCAGTATATAATCACATATATTCAGTAATCAGTGAAGATGAGTTTAAGCTGTGTGTGTATGTGCGTATGTGTGTGTAAAGCTGGAGTGACACTGCACTTTTCTCCTCATCTTCCATTCATATGCACACGACTGCGTCAGATCAGAAACGCAAGCTCGACAAGTTTTGCAGTTCGCTGCATTGCAAAGTTCTAGCTTGGTAAACTCTGACCTGTACAGTAGCTGAGAGAGCTGAACTTGTTGCAATTTAAGAAAACACATGCAATTACAAAAAACATCAGCAAATTAAGACAAGATATTCATCCGTTTGACAGCACATGTGCTGCAAATCCTCACAATGCAAACACATAAAAAAAATAATAAAAAAAACACGTTAATAAAACGATATTTTCCCACAACGCAAACACATAAAAAAATAAAAATAAAAAAACACGTTAATAAAACGATATTTTCCCACAACGCAAACACATAAAAAATAAAAATAAAAAAACACGTTAATAAAACGATATTTTCCCACAACGCAAACACATAAAAAAATAAAAATAAAAAAACACGTTAATAAAACGATATTTTCCCACAACGCAAACACATAAAAAAATAAAAATAAAAAAACACGTTAATAAAACGATATTTTCCCACAACGCAAACACATAAAAAAATAAAAATAAAAAAACACGTTAATAAAACGATATTTTTCCACAACGCAAACACATAAAAAAATAAAAATAAAAAAACACGTTAATAAAACGATATTTTTCCACAACGCAAACACATAAAAAAATAAAAATAAAAAAACACGTTAATAAAACGATATTTTCCCACAACGCAAACACATAAAAAAATAAAAATAAAAAAACACGTTAATAAAACGATATTTTCCCACAATGCAAAAAAAATGGAACACAACAGAAATGTTTCAAGGGGACTCAAAAATGTGACAGAAGTCACTGTGCAGCGATTATTGCTCAGTGAAGTTGTTGGTGATCTTTGAAAGTTGAGTTTTTTGTTTGTTTATTTTACCATCCTGATTGCCTTGTCTTTAGTATTTATTAGTCTAACGACAACCGAAATAGCCAGGTCCGTTATGTTTTAGGGTCCTCTTGAAACATTTCCATTGTGTTGCGAGCTATTTGAAACTGAATTTTGCATGCTCAAACTCTAGACCGTGGCATTAGTGTCTGGATGACTGTCAGCTGTGGCATGAATGATTGGAGCAATGAATTCTGGGATTTGTAGTTCAATTTAGTGGCAGAATTGTAGTTCTCCAGCGATCTCCAACTGTTAGATAAAAAAAACAATGAGTAAAAAATACCTATAGATAATTGTTGATTTGGTAATAACATTTGTAATTGCTAGTCTTTATTACATGTCATGTGTAATTTGTATCCTTGTATCCTGTTGATTTTTAGGTCCAGTGAAAGTGAACGAAGTCAGACGTAATCATTTCAAAAATCCTCGCAACATCACTAAAGAAAATAAAAATGCAGACGCTTCACAGACGGTTCACAGACAAGGTCAAAAACCTGGAGTCAATGGACATTACACCTGTTCTGCCTGTGGAAAGATCTACAAACATAAATCAGGTTTTTACAGACACAAGCGATTTCACACTGGAAAAGGATTGTTTACGTGCACGCAGTGTGGAAAGGATTTTCCCGAGAAAGGAAAGCTGGACATACACATGAGGATTCACACCGGAGAAAGACCGTTAACGTGCGCTCAGTGTGGACAGAGTTTCATACACAAACCAGATCTTACCAGACACATGAGGATCCACACCGGCGAGAGGCCTTATACATGCACCCAGTGTGGAAAGAGTTTCATTGATCCGTCATGCTTGAAAGCGCACTCGAATAAGCACATCGAAGAGAAACCGTTTACATGCGCTCAGTGTGGAAAGGGCTTCTTATATCAATTCATCCTCAATAATCATCTGCTCTCGCACTCTGGAGTAAAGCCGTTCAGCTGCCATCAGTGCGATAAAACATTTGTGCTAGAAAAACGCTTAAAGGAGCACCTTCAAGTTCACGCTGCCGTCAAGCCTCACGTTTGCTTCTGTGGGAAAAGTTTCACAATAATGAACAGGTTACAGGATCATCAGAGGATTCACACCGGAGAGGGACCGTACAAGTGTTCACACTGTGGAAAGAGCTTCATTTACTTTAAATCCTTGAAAACTCATGAGAGAAATCACACTGGGAAAAAGCCATAACAGTGTCGGAACTGCGTGTGGAAAGAGTTTCTATTATTCAGATTCAGTGGAGAAAGTTCATACACTCTCAGAAAAAAAGGTACTGATTTTAAAATATTACTTCTAACTTTCAAGGCACTTCATAATCTCGCTCCTCAATATCTCACTGAACTTCTCCATATCTACACCCCTTCTCGTACCCTTAGGTCAGCTAACAACTTCACTCTGGCACCACCTCGCACTCGACTGAGCAAAATGGGAGACAGATCTTTTAGCTCTATGGCTCCTAGGCTATGGAACTCACTTCCAGTAGATCTTAGGAGCAGTGATAGTCTTCACAATTTTAAATCACGTCTAAAGACCCATCTTTTTAAGCAGGCTTTTACTTAACAATTTTTTTTATCATGTTTTTATTATGTTCTTTTATATTCGCTATTGCGTTTTAACTTGTTTGGTCAATGATTGTTTTTAGTAATGTTTAAGTTGTTTAGCATGTCTGCTGATGCTTACTGTAAGGCGACCTTGGGTGTCCAGAAAGGCACCATTTATAAATAAAATGAATTATTATTATTATTATTACTCGGTGGTACAAATAATGTTCCTTAAGGAACAGTTTTGTAGCTTTGTAAAAGTTTTACCTATTATGGTACAGAAAAGTCCTCTTATGATGCTGTTCTGTACCTTTTAAGGTATAATGGAAAGAAAGGTAAATAATTGTTCTCATGAAAAGGTACAAAAGTGTTGAACAACTCCTTCATTAATATATATATGAGAATAAATATGACTGGACAGGCACAGTGATGTATGAATGATTTCCATATTAAAACATGAATCATCATTAATCATTAATTATCATTAATAAGCATTTGATATGGAACAAAATCAATGCCAAAAGTATTGAATTAAAAGCTTGTTAAACAGCACAAACTTTAAAAAATAATACACCGAATTAACAACAAGTTAACAAGTTCCTGCATTTTAATGACTTGAATTCCAGGTTTTGTATTTTTAGGTCCTAAAATGTACCATGTCTGTTTATTTAAGGTGTGAATATTTCAACTAAAAATATTTCAAACACGTTTTCATACTCAAAAATTTAATAATTCATATTCAATTTCCAGATTTCACTAAATATTCAATACTCTTACCCTCATATGAATACGATGTATAATATTCAAAGGGCAATTTTCAGTTACAAATTCGAGCTTTTTTCAAATTCAGAATTCAACAAGCTTTTTAATTCAATACTTTTGGCATTGATTTTGTTACATATTATGATTAAAGAAACTCATAAACACTAATTATCAAGTTCTATAATGCAAAACAACTGGTAAAACTAAACTCTAGGTATTGTAAACTAAACATTTAAGGCATTTTTAATAAACGTTTGGTAAACATTTTCTGATAAAGACATTCATCAGCAAATCACTTACAAAAGCTAACACATACTCTAATCTTTATATAAATCATATAAATAAATACATAATTAGGCAATTTATTAGGAAATTAAATTTTTGTATTATTATTTTATTATTATTAAGTGGAATATTGTTTATTCATTTATCTACTTTTACAATTTGATACATGCAAACCACTGCAAAAATGTTTTAGTTGGCTAACGATGGTTTTTGGAAACGCACCCCAGGCTGATAATAAAGAATGTGGATTCTGAAGGTTTTCTTTCATATTACAAGATGTACTATATATGGAATTACTAAAGATTGTTCTGTTTTGCACGATTTAATTAATATTATCATTATATTAGCCAAATATTTTGTTCTTAAAAGCAGATACTTTAAAACACCTCCACTACTAAATGTTAATTCTTTTGTATCATATAACTTGCCATAGCCGATATCTGTTTTGTATTGATTTCTTTTTTTAAGTTTTTTTCTCTCTCTTAATTTTATTTCAATTTTGATTTTTGTAATTTTTACACTTTTGTATATTATTTTGTTTTGAGCCTTCCATACGATTCATGATATGTAAAGTTGAACGCCATTTTGCTGTATTTGAATTTTGTATTTCCAATTAAAAAAATTAAAAAGAGATGTTTGGTTAAAATTGTGTTTATAGTGATGTCTTACTAAATCATTGCCTTGTGAAATGTCATATGCTGACTCCACATTTTTTTAAATATGCAGAAATAAATAAAAAAACAATTGTATTATATGACTCAATTATTAAATAAATGTAAAGAATGTGTTTCAACATAAACGCACACAAATGAGGGCAAAATTGTTAGCCTTCCCATAATTTTTTTTATTCTCATTTATTCATTCATTCATACATTTATTTTCTTTTTGGTTTAACCTTTATTAATCATGGGTCACTACAGGGGAATGAACCGCCAACTTATTCAGCATATGTTTTACACAGCGGATGCCCTTTCAGCTGCAACACATCACTGGGAAACACCCATACACACTCATTCACACACATACACTACAGCCAATTTAGGTTATTCAATTCACCTATAGCGGTGACGCGGTGACACAGTTGGTAGTGCTGTCGCCTCACAGCAAGAAGGTCGCTGGTTCAAGTTTCTATGTGGAGTTTGCATGTTCTCCCAGTGTTTGTGTGGGTTTCCTCCGGGTGCTCCGGTTTCCCCCAAAATTCCAAAGACATGCAGTACCGGTGAACTGAGTAAGTTAAATTGTCCGTGTATGAGTGTAAATGAATGTGAATAGATGTTTCCCAAGCATGGGTTATGGCTGGAAGGACATCTGCAGTATAGCAACATGCTGGATAAGTTGACGGTTCATTCCACTGTGGCTACCCCAGATTAATAAAGGGACTGAGCCAAAAAGAAAATGAATGAATGATTTCACCTAGCGCATGTCTTTAGACTGTGGGGAAAACCGAAGCACCCAGAGGAAACCAGCGCCAGCATGGAAAGAACATGCAAACTCCACACAGAATGCCATCTGACCCAGCCGAAGTTCAAACCAGCGACCTTCTTGCTGTGAGGCGACAGCAATACCCGCTGTGCCACCACACTTCCCAAATTTTTTTTTTTTCAAACCTATTTCCTAAGCTATGCGAGGAAATTTTTCCAGTAATTTCACTATTACATATTTTCTTTTGTAGAAGGTCTCACTTCTTTTAGGTTTAGTTTGTCTGAAATAAAATATATATTTTTTAAAGGTCAATATTGGTATTCCCCTTAAGAAATATATTTCAGTTGGCTAAAAAATTATCTAATAGCTAGTTAACCCAATGAACCTAGTTAAGCCTTTAAATGTCACTTTAAGCTGTATAGAAGAGTCTTAAATTTTTTTAGGTAAAATATTATTCACTGTCATCATGGCAAAGATAAAATAAATCAGGTATTAGAAATGAGTTATCAAAACTATTATGTTTAGAAATGTGTTGAAAAAATCTTCTGTCCGTTAAACAGAAATTGGGAGAAAAAATATAAAGGAGGCTAATAATTCAGGAGGGCTAATTTTTCTGACTTCAACTGTATATTGTATTTAAATGAGCTACGCCATGTCCAAAATGACATTATATTTGATTTCAATAATACACTAATGTCTTACAAAATTAAAAAGCTAATTTCCATACTCCATATCAGAGTCCGGTCACTAGAGGGAGACATTAGTCCTTGCTCACTCGTTCACTCAGTGCTCCTGATCTCCAGCGTTCTCACAATGACAGTGGATAAACTCACTATCACTTATCCTGACACTGAACTTCATTAACGTGTGTGCACTCTCAGAAATAAAGGTACGCGAGCTGTCACAGGGGTGGTACCTTTTTAAAAGGTACACATTTGAACCTAAAGGGTCCATATTGATTCCTCAAAAGTATATGTCATTTCCTAAAAAAATTTAAAAGGAACACTTTTGTACTTTTAGGTACTAATATGTACACTTCAGGTATTAATATGGACCTTTAAGGAACAAATCTGTACCTTTCGAAAAGGTACCTACAGTGAGAGCTTGCGTTCCTTTATTTGTAAGAGTCTTGAAGAAGACAGGATAGCACTGTCGCCTCAAAAGGTTGCTGATTCGAGTCCAGGTTGGGCCACTTAGCGATGCTGTGTGGAGTTTGCATGTTCTCCCCGTGTTGGCGTGAGTTTCCTCAGGGTGCTCCAGTTTCCCCCACAGTCCAAAGACATGCGCTATACCCTGCTGAAAAATCCAGCTTAAACCAGCCTAGGCTGGTAGGCTGGTAGGCTGGTTTTAGCTGGTTGACCAGGCTGGTTTTAGAGGGGTTTTGGCCATTTCCAGGCTGGTTTCCAGCCATTTCCAGCCTGATCTTAGCTGGTCAGGCTGGAAAATTACCAGCCAAATCCAGCTAAAACCAGCTTGACTAGCCTGGTTTAAGCTGGATATAGCTGGTTTTGGCTGCACTCCCAGCTTGACTAGGCTGGTCAAGCTGGTTTTAGCTGGTCATCTCCCAGCCTGACCAGCTAAGACCAGGCTGGAAATGGCTGGAAATGGCTGAAAACCAGCCTGGAATTGGCCAAAAGCCCTCTAAAACCAGCCTGGTCGACCAGCTAAAACCAGCCAACCAGCCTAGGCTGGTTTAAGCTGGATTTTTCAGCAGGGTAGGTAAATTGGATGGACTAAATAGGCTGTAGTGTATGAGTGTGTTTGACTAAGAGAGTGTATGGGTGTTTCCCTGTACTGGTTTGCATCTGGAACAGCATTCGCTGCATAAAACATATGCTGGAATAGTTGGCGGTTCATTCCACTGAGGCAACCCCTGATAAGTAACGGACTAAGCCAAAGGAAAATGAATAACTCAAGGGAGGACCTCAAATTAATTCGATGTCATGCAAAATAATCAGCTGTAATGTCTTAAGTACCTTTGTGTGCGTGTATATATGTGTGTATGTGTGTGTGTGTGCTCTTATTGCTTTCACAGATTAGGTTTCAAGCTAAGACAGATGATCTGTTGGAGAAGAACTGCATTAGTGAGAAGAAGGAGAGAATTATCTCACTTCCACAGGCTGACGGAGCTGCTAGAAACTCAAGTTTCATCTCAGCACCAGTGACAAACTGCTCTTACCCAACTGGCCTTTCCTTAACCCGGTAATATAAAACATACAGTCACAAAGATTAAGCCTCCTGTAAATTTTATTTTCTCTTTAAAATATTTCCCAAATGATGTTTAACCGAGCAAGGATTTTTTCACACAGTATTTCGGATAATATTTTTTCTTCTGGAGTAAGTCTTATTTGTTTTATTTCGGCTAAAATAAAAGCAGTTTTTTTATTTTTTAGCAACCATTTTAAGGTCAACATTATTAGCCCCTTTACACTATATATTTTTTGATTGTCTACAGAACAAAGCACTGTTATACAATGACTAACCTAATTACCCTAACCTAACCTAGTTAAG